CCTTTGGTGGGTTATTACATAAGGATCCGACAACTTCTTTTTGGCGCCGTTGCCGGGGATAGTGCGTCAGCACCAGAGTACTCGAGCAGCAATGCTTGGTGAATGTCGACGAGCGATGGTGTGGGAAAACTAAGTGCGAGAGCCACACATAAACTCCGTCGAGATTCAAAAAAAGCCGTAGAAGAAAAGCGGCGAACTAAAGAGAAGACTAAAAGTGAGAACTCTGCAGAAAGATCCCTATCGCCGACTGCTGGAAGCCAAGGCCGTTCTAGTTCACCTGCTGCGAGCATTGAGCTAACGGTTCTATTGGGGATCCCTCCGACAGGAACTCTTCCTGGGTTAGGCCCACTTGGGAGCAGTCCGTTGACAGGATCACCAATGGTAGACCCTCAAGCCAATCCCCGCCTGGTGTTTTCCCAACCTTTCACAAAACATTCGTATCCAAGGTACAAGGGAACGGGCGACGACGATGATGCAGATTCATACATAAAGCTCTTCGAGTCTGTCTCCATCACCAATCGCGAGACCAGTGATGAAGACAGATTGCGAATCTTTCCTAGCCTGCTGCGCAAGAGAGCTCGTAGCTAGTATAATCATGAGAGTACCGACCCCACTGGCATCCAGACCTGGGCTCAGCTCAAGGAGAAGTTTCTGAGGCGGTTTCGCGAACTCGGATATGACAGTCGAGTGCTGACCCGACATCGAAATCTTCGACGGGAACGGAAGGAGAATCTTCGGGACTATACGGAGAGATTCCAAGACCTCCTAGATTGAATTCCCAAGACAGGTCCATGAGAACCTTTTTCGGTACAGCAAGCAGTGGACTGGTACGTGACAGGGCTAACAAGAGAAATGGAGACCTTCTGCAGGAGGGGCAAGGTTGACACCATCCAAGATGTGATAGCTTCGGCGGAGACCTTTGAGATGTCAACCCTTGACACTCGAAGAAGCGACCGACGGTCGACGAAGAAGAAATCGCAAGGCGGACGTCGGAAGAGAAGGGGGTCGCTTCCCTCATCAGAAGAATCACGCTCATCCGAAGCGAGTTCTTCCTCGGAGGAGGAAGAGAACTCGTCGTCTTTGGAGGAGGAGAGACGGAAGAAGAAACGCAGTGCGACGAAGAAGAAGGACTGGGGTAGAGGAACCCCAAGGAAGAGTCAAGGGGACATCGCAGCCAAGGTGGACAACCTGGTGAAGGATTTTGCGGATCTGAAAGTTCATGTAGTGGGAGGTCAAGACCGACGTAAATCACCTGCGAGGCTGCGAGCGAACCCCTGGTGTACTACGTGCGGACAAGTGGGACATGCTAACACGGAGTGCATGGCCGCTCGCCCGACTTACCCAGTGAATACGGTTGAATGGGCACCACAGTGGGAGAACCCCATTTATTATGGTGAGCCGAGTGAGGACACAGCCTATGCGGTTCAGTCAGCTCCGGCTACGACTCCGATCCCACCTGTGCATATACCGCGGTTCAATCCAAGAGAAATGGCGACTACGCTCCCACAGAGGCGCATGGCACCTTTCGGCACCTTCAACCGACCCCCACCGCAGGCTTGCTATAATTGCGGGGAGGTGGGACACTACTCGCCGAGCTGCCCCCACCCGAAGAAACAAACTGGGTATGTACCGACGTGCAGCAACTGCAGGAAGGCAGGACACACGGCGGTCGAATGTGACCAGCCACCAGTCGCCAGGCCAACCGTGCGTTTCGTGACGCCACCTGTCAAGGAAGATGTGCAGGTCAATTAGGTAGACCTGGGCTCGGACCCAACTGAAGAAGACGAAGTGTGGCCGGAGGAAGAAGTGATGTGCGGACGGGTAGAGACCCAAAGTTCGAAGAGGCGGGGAGAGGACCACAAGGACACTCGCCGGCTCGACCGTAAGGCAGAGGGACGGAAGTCTAAAGCGGAGGAGAAGTCTAGCCGAAGCAAAACACCGGGTACACCTCCGGCGATGCGGAACATCCAGTCGGCGCTAAACTCGGAGAAGGCGGACGGGACCTCAGACGAGGTCCAGAACCGCAACTACCTTCCGGACATCAAGGATGAGGTAAGACACCTCATCAAGGAAGCACTGAGCGCCGGAGCGATATCAGACGACCGGAGGGCGGCTAGGCCCTCTACGCCACTTCCGACGGCAACTGATGGAAGGGCGGCGGCTGTGACCTCAAGCACCCCTTACGACATAGTGGAGAACATAGGGAGACAGAGAGCAAATATTTCCTTCAACCAGCTGTTGGAGGATAATAAGACGTACCGCAAGATGCTGATGCTTTCGCTGCGCCGGCCGCGCAAACCCCGAAAAGGGAAGCTTTTGGCGGTGTACAAAGTGGAGGGAGGAGACCTAGGACCTCCGGAGATCGAAGTGGAGATCGGAGGCTGCGTCATATAGAAGGTACCAGTGGACTCCGGTTCGGGCGTTAACATCATGACGGAGGAGACGGCGAACTCCTTGGGGTTCCAGACTTTCGAGGCTACAACTAGAGTGTTGCGGTTGGCCGATCAAACGCGCAGAATGCCGCTGGGCATGTTGCGCAATGTGCGAACCAACATTGGAGGAGTGGACTTTCAACTATCATACATAGTATTGCAGCCCCTGATGAAGAAAGGTTACGATGTGCTGCTTGGCAGACCTTGGCTATACGACGCCAAAGCAAGGTGTGACTGGAGGAGGAAGAGATTGCAGTTCCGAAACCCTTCGGTCCCTACGACTGTCATTACCGTGCCATGGATCAAGGTACCACACGAGGGCGAAACCCCATCGACCAGCTCAGGTTACACGACTGGAGGGGAGAGCAACTCGTCGTACCCTTCAGATACAGAGATGTCAGATGAGTTTGTGGGATACGTCACTTGCTGCTCCATTGAGGAGGAAGGGGACGATATGCATCCGGACGACGAATAGCAATTAATAGTGGGACTGGGCAGAAGCGAGATCAGTCACACTGAAGGGATTGTCAATCCAAGTGACTGTCGCGAAGTGCAGCTCAGTCCAGACAAAGGCTTGAAGGTGTCAAGCCAGGTGCAAGGAGAAGAATTGAGGAGGGTACAGGCGTTTCTTCGCCAGTATGAGGATGTTTTCGCATGGAAGATTGAAGATATGAAAGGCATACCTGCAAGGTATGGAGAGCACAGGATCGACTTGTTGGACGATGCAGTTCCGGTTCGCCAACGCCAATACAGGCTCAACCCAAAATATTCATTGTTGGTGATGGATGAAATCGATAAGTATCTGAGCGCGGGGATCATTTACCCGGTACTCAGTAGCGAGTGGGTTTCGCCAATTGTAATCGTGTTAGAAACTGACAGGTAAGATTCGGGTGTGCCAGGACTTCCGAAAGCTAAACGCAGCAACGCGCAAGGACCATCATTCTCTCCCTTTTACGGACGCCATTTTGGATCATGTCGCACGGCATGAGTGCTACAATTTTCTAGACGGGTTCTCCGGATACAACCAGGTGTACATCAGAGAACAAGACAAGGACAAAACGACCTTCACGACTGATTGGGGAACCTACACTTACCACAAGATGCCTTTCGGGTTGTGCAACGCGCCGGCTACGTTCCAGCGGATGATGACAAACAACTTCCAAGAGCAGCTGAGAAAGTTCCTGGAAATTTTCATTGATGACTTCTATGTCTTCGGTAAGAGGTCGGAGCACCTTAGCCACCTTCGGCAGACGTTTGACCGATGTCGGGAAAGCAGCTTGTCCTTGCACCCTGAGAAGTGTTTTTTTTTTATGACCAGCGGAATTCTGCTGGGGCACAAAGTTTCGTCCGACGGCATTGCGGTGGATGTCGAGTCAATAAACAGTGTCTAAAAGAGAAGTTTACTGGAAGACTAAGTAAGATTAGAGAAAGTAATGTCGTTGTGAACAAAGACAACCAACCGGATTACAATCTCTGAAGTTGTTCTATATGGCTTATACATAGAGACTCTAGATATATATACTTAACACCGGCGACAAACTTAACTATAAAAAGCTAGAACCTAACATTAATAATTAATGGGAATTAACCTCAACACGCGTTAAATAAATTAACTTTGATATTACCAGAACACCGTCCGAGCTATGTATAAACATTGCCAATATAATATATTAATAAATTCCAAAGATGATTGAGATGAAAATATTGAAAATTTCTATCATGTTGATCCATATTTAATATCAACTTCAATACTATAATATAATATTTCAAATGTATATAATGTTTTATGTATCATTATTTATAATATTTTTTATGATCTCTATGATATTTTCAAAATAATCTAAATAGATTATTTAGATTGAGTCACTTGGTTGACATCAATAACATGTTATCAATATTATTTTTAAATTATATTTAATAGACCAAAAAATTCTTTTATTTTGATTTTTGTGCTTTTATAAAATACAATGTCAGATTTTTTTTATGTATACTCTTTGAAACCAAAAAGTTAAAACTAGCATTTATTTTGTATTATAAATAATCAGAATAGATTAAATATGAATAGGAATATTTTATATATTATTAAAGAAAGATTATAATTAAATATTATTAAAAAAAATTTATCTTCACTTTTAAAGTGTGAAACAATTGTAAATATCTAGTAAATTTTGAATATTAAGATGAATTGATATGGAAAAATTATATATATTTTTAAATTAGAAGAATTTCAAAATTTGAAGTTATTTACTTTCATAAAATTCTATTAAAAAATTTATTTTTATTTTTATTTTAAAACTCAAAAACTATAACAGCACGATTAGGTAATATGAACTCATTGTTATTTACTATGATATTGCATTTATCGAGTTGTTTCGAATAATACATGCAGCGCTCTATTTGTTCAGTTTTATACCCACTTTTCCTGTGCTCATAACACCATCTTATTATCCACATCCTTGTGGAAGATTCTTGGAGGAATGAGAAAAGCCCATGAATGAAGACCGTCAGTCAGTTGGGGCGAAAGGACGGCGGTAAGCGCTCGACCGGGAGGGAAGGAAGCCAAAAGACCGACCGAACAAGCAAAGCCGTCGCATATTGCGAGTTTGGCGCCGAGGATGGATAGGAAGAACAGGCTATAAATACGGCCATGACAAAATGCTTCCATGACCGGGTGAGATGCGCTGTCCTCACATGGTCGTTTTCCTTGTCAATCCTGCTGCGGCGCAGGAGTGGTGCACCCAGGAAAGGTGAATGTCGACCCTCAGCCTCCAATCGTTGGTTTGTTTTCTGCTTTTGGTCTCTGACATTGGGTACTTTTTGAGTCTGGGTCCACCAGCTCCTATGGCTCGAATCCAGCCGATACCGTTGAATTGATAGCGGCTGCGTGCACTAACGACGCAGCCCTTAGAGTATAGAAAAACATTTGCAACTTGGGAAAAATCCAGGTGCCATCACCCAGTTCCGACTTACGCGCGTCTTCTGGGATCCGGTCACTTTCGGCACAGTCGTCGCCTCGCGCTTTACAATCAGCTGGCATGGAGATGTGAAGATTCGCGGGTATGCAGATTTCTGATGCGAGCAAGTTTCTTGAGAACCGATGTTTTGTCTCCGGCGGTAAAAGTGAGTCCCCACGAAAATGACCACAATTTCCTCGACCGTAAAACATTCAACGTTGATATCTGATTCTCCTTGAATCTGTGATGAAAATGAATCTCGAGCTGTTCTCTCTCCTCAGAATGTCATCTTGCTGTCTTGTGTGCCAGGATATGAAACAACGAGTTGTTGCAGTACAGAAGATTCTGACACAGGTCAAGAGAGAGATAAGCTTGCCATGCTGCGGGACACTTCACTAGTGTCTTGGAATCAGGGACAAGGCTTACGACGATGATGTGGAGTGTTTGACATTTTCTGTCTAGTGTCATTATCAGAGGTCCATTCTCGTCCACATCAGTCCGCATTGCTCCTCTATACCTTCCCACAACTAACACTATTGGCACAATACAAAATGCAACATCACAGTTTATCTTGGTATTTGTAAATGACAACCACAAGAATTCCAAATTTTTGTTATCAATTTTTAGTTTCAACAAGTTATGTTTAGTTATACATTGAAATATTCATTTCAAATTACATTTCAATCTTTTTTGAATCAAAGATATAGTAGTTCCAATACCTCAATAAATTTAATGATTTTGTAATGTCTTACCAAGAACATTGAATTACAATAAACATGTAAAAAAAAGTATGTTTTTTACAAGATGCTTTTTCATCTATTTTACATTTTTTCCTAAATTATTTTTTTCTCTTATATATATATATATTATTCAAGTTTCATTTTTGGAACTCAATTTATAATATGTATGAAAATTTTGATTTTTTTTAAAGATTTTAATATTAGATTAATTTATGATCTTAACGATTTAATTTTCAAAAAAAGTTATAGTAACTAACAAAAGATCATTATTACATATATGTCTAAGTTTTAAAAATAACAATCATATTTTACTTATCTTCAAATTGTTTAAAAAATTTTCATTCACATATTCAATTATTTACGTATATTAACCATGTTTTATATATTTAAAAGAAATGTAGTTTTTTATAGATTTATGTAAATCAAGAAAAAAAATATTTCATGTAATCAAGTTATAAATTAACTGATTTTTAAATATACATTGATATAAATTATAGATCATATGACAACTTAGAATTTATATATGGCATTTAAAAAAAAATTATTATCACTTTGATATTCAAATTCAAATGTGTCATCATGAGGTTTTTTCAATTTGCATAAGATATTGATGGAGTATCTTGAACAACATACAACTATCAATATTATCCAATTAATATTACACATAAATCACAATTTTCAATTACAAAATTTTGAAATCAAAATGAATGTATCGTGGAGACATCACTTCATTTTCACAAAATTACATAACAATACACAAGAATATCACATGAAAAATCACATTATTGTAGTATTTCATAGGATTAGTTTTCACAGTATTGAGGTGGTGAGCTATGTCTTGCTGTCTTAAGTAGATAATCTATCAAACAATTCACCAACCAGATACAAGTAATACATTGTAACCTACAAATCTTTTAAAATGATTAATCTTAACAATCTATCTTCTTAACACATCTCAATGAAGAATAAGTTGGAATAGATTGTTCAAAATCTCAAATGCAAATAAGGTTACTTCAAGCTCGCAATTTCCATCTTCAATTGCTCTGACAAAGTAATTTTTTACTAGATTTTGTTGATAAAATAATCTTCAACTAATTTCTTCTGATGAATAATTTTAAGACTAGATTTCTTCGACCAAATATTTTTGAAGTGGTATTCATTGACAAATGATTTTTCAATTGAATTATTCAACTGTAGTGCAAAAAACTACATTATTACAGTTGAAACATTATTGGAGCTGCATCATGAGATCCAATATTGCAAACTGAATCTGAGAGATATTGACGCATTTGTTAAAATTGGAAACTTTGAAGTTGTTGTAAAGATTTTATTTAGGTACGACATCAAATGTCACTCAAGTTTGATCATAGCAATGGATAAAAATGAGATGAAGTGATTGGAAACTAAATATGATAATAAACATCTTATCATTCATACTGACCATTATTATACATGCTCTTTGATTATTTCATTGTATCAGAGTAAGGAAGGAATACACTTGTGAAAAAAAGATTATGAGCTTTGCTCCTACCCATTAAGATGAAATTAATTATGTATTAGTTCATTATGGATGGAGATAGCCGAATGATGCTTGCAAGAGATAGCAATAAGTTGATTGAGGAGTCAAATTATCACGTTTGGTGACTGAAGATGCCTAAACAATTTGAACTTTGAAAAGTGATGATAAACAAGATCAAGATGATGTGAAGCTCATCAATTACAATCAATCACATACTTGTGAACTAGACCTACAAAGGAATCACCATGCAGACGTCATCATACGTAATTGTAACTTTGTCATTTATCGAGTGTTTGCACATATATTGAGAATCAATAACGCTTTACTTGGTGTTCATAACCTCATCATGTATAGATCGTACGAGAAGCTTGCACATTGAGATAAAATAACACTTAATCCATGCTATAACACTTAAAATAGAGAATTATTAAATACACCACACTTTTTACTAAATACACCACACAGCACACTCCACCACACCTCTCTTCCTCCCTCCCCACACCACACCGCAGTATGGTTGTGTTGCAGGTGTACCGGTGTGGTGTGGTGTGGTGTGGCTTAAGGTGTGTGGGACTCCTTCGTGGGCAATCGCTTGTCCGACGAGATTAATTTTCTGCTCCTCAGCACGCGCGCGAGTAGCAGGTGTCGTGCGAATACATATCGCAATACACTGTACATCGCTGACATGCTACTCACATACACTAACACACACATACACACATATAAAGCGCTAGAGAGTTCACACTCAAATGTCACAACTGAAAAGTACGGGATTTCTCCACTGGATACCTGTCGGTCTGATTACCCTATTGGCAACAAAATCGTCACCGTCACAAACATAAGTCGAGTCAAACCCACTCCACATTTGGAGATTCCAGGTCGACGCTCAGGGGCACTACTCCCAACGCGCTAGGCTCGACTCGAAGAATTGACGTACCCCTCGCGACCTGAAACCCTATCTCAACATCTAAATATAGTAAGTATAAGAAACTAAGTGACACGACTCAAAACAACATGACACAGGGGATGGGCTTTGTCTCTGCGGTCCTCGCTTTCGCGGGCGAGGGTGATGGACTCTGGGGTGCCCTTCCAAGGAGCGGGGGTAGGGAGTTGGGAGGGTGTATGGCAACGTGTATGGATGTATGGTGTACCATCAGATGTGAAATCAGTCGACGCAGCGATTACTACGTCTGTTCAGTTTCCGTCTTCTCCTAGCCTACGCCAAACACCTAAATATCTAACTCTAAGTTCTTCCTCGCCTCTTCTAAATCGGAAGAGAAAGAATTCACTAGTCTAACTAATTGTCGGTGCCCGACGGTTCCGCTGGCATCAAATTTCCTCAATCGCCGCTCTAGCATGTCCAATTTTGTAAATTTCAGAGTCTGAACTTTCCACTCGACTTCAAATCCTTCTTGTACGACGGCGGCTGCATGGGGGATGCACTACCTCCCCATAGTTCTCTCGAATTTTGCTTTTGAGTACTTCAGATTTCTTGAGTTTTGCTCTGGTCCGCTTCTATTCTCTCGAGGTTCACGTGCCGCCATCTTCCAATACAGTTGTAGTAGGGATGACTAATCATCGTGGTAACTCGAGGGGACAAACTTCGGGCGCTCCTTGCGTAGGGAGTCCGCAGGTGAGAGGAGCGTGCAATAGTCCGAGATCCTCGTCTCAAGTTTCCAAGAGTGGCACTCCACATGCGATTAAGTTTACTTCAGCGAGGACAGCTCGCGGTTTGTCCATGTGCCGTGTGTATTCACCCATGGCCCGACGGCTAGCGGATAAGGTTCTTCGCGTACGAAGAGTTGCTACGGCTTCTAGTGCGTCTTCAGATGTGGCGGCCAGAGCTGCTGTGTGGTTTATACATGATACATTGTGACACTCCTGGTTCTGTCGACGTACCCTGTTGAAGTGGCTGCCATCTTCTGGCTTCCTATCTTGTTCGGACTCACGACATGCTCCCAGATCTTTGCGGCATGGGCGTTATAGAGAAAACAACTCTCTCGAAGCTGCCGTTCAACGAGTTGTGTGCTAAATTTGAATACCCTTGTTTCGTTCTTGCACTTACAAGGAAATAAAACGCGAAGTGTATTCGTCGATGCATCACCATGGCAACCAGGTCGCAGGAAGTGGGTGGAAACCGACTGCTTTGAGCTAGAAGACACTAATCTTTGTTCTGGATGATATTGACAATAATAGTCATCTTGAACTTCTCCAGTACATATCATCTGTAAATGATTGTGAGAACAGTTGTTACATTGTTACCTCTCGAGATAGCAATATTTTGAACAAGTCGGATGCATGCGTGTTTGACGTGGAACTCTTAAATCACAAGAGCTCCAAAGAGCTATTTATGAGCTACGCATTTTTTTGTTCGACAAAACCGAGTCCATCATTGATGGAATGGGATGATGGAAAGATCGTCCCAAAATGTGATGGACTACCATTAATCCTAGAGGTGATGAGCAAGTATTTACGGAGAAAAGTTAGTGAAAGCATACAGATGTGTCTTGATGCTCTGGATGAGTTAAACAACGTAGTTGGTTTGGACGAACGGTTGTGGACAGAATTGAGAGTGAGCTATGACCGTCTGAGTAGTGACGAGAAGAAAATGTTCCTTGATGCTGCTTCCTTCTTCAACAATTCCACGTGGAACCTACGAGAAGCTAAATCTTACTGGCATTTGCTCTATGGACACAAAGATCTCCAATGGCAAACTCTGGTAGATATGTCTCTCGTCTACGATGTGGACTAAGAAGAAAATATACAAATGCATGAGTAATTGAGGTCTCTAGGATATAGTCTAGCTTCTGGAATGGGAACAGATGGCACATGTAGGACTTGGACTAAGAATGTTGCTTCCGCCCGCCGTCTGCTTGCAGCCGCCACAGTCGTTGCTTAGAGAAGTAACCGAGCGCGAGCTTCGTTTTGCCGATGTCTTCGATGTTGTGATCCACCTCCATTGTACACTACTGTTGATTCTGCAAATCGGTGAAGATGTCATTGTCGCTGCTGTGTTCGATTCGTTTGTCGCACTTGCTCTTCGTCGAAGTTGTGACCTGGTGAAAAATTCTAGTCGTCGCCGTAGTTTCCTACCGCTCGCCACGCCGCTGTAGTATACGCGTTAGGTTCGTCTACGCGTGGGTACTTGCTGTAACTGTATCATAGCGCTCCAAATCACATGTAGAACCTTGGGAATTGATGTCCCCGCGCAATTTCTCGTGGTTTCATGAGGTTACTGCTGATAGCCGCCGAATTTCTAGTCACCGCGTTTCGCGGTGGTGTTTCTAGGGATAAGCGTTGCTGCATTTGCTTAGCATTGTTTGCTGCA